GACTAAAGGAACCTCTTTATTTTGGATACTTTGTGTTGGTCTTTCACATTAAATTCCAGTGAAATATATTTATGTTTGTGGTTGTAATGTGACAAAATATGGAAAAGTTCAAGGGGTATGAATACTTTTGCAAACCACTGTATCAACAGTTTTCAGCATTTTCATGCTTTTAATAAATAAGCTCTATTGGTCACACCTCACATCAGTCTGTGCTTCTTTGGATGACTAAGCAATGAGAAGTGTCAAAAACAGCATGTTAGCTTGTGACTACACAGTTTGTTTAATTGTAAATAAATATTTTCTTTTCATTTCCTCAAAAGTTGCACATTTAGAGATAAAACATTTCTGTCTGACAGCGACAATATTAGCAAATAACTCGTTCATACAATTTAATTACTTCTCTCTTTATCTGTCGTCCCACTCTGCTGCTGCACTGTAAGCCACGTGACGCATTGCTAACATGTAACACAAACACTGAAGCTTTTTGGGCTGAACAGTAGCTGAGCGTAGAGGCAGTTAGAACACAGAATGAATGAAAGACAGTGTGGAAAATCTGTGTGGCGACAGAGCTAATGCAGCTTCATTATTGCTGTTTAAAAAAAAGAAACAAAAAAAAGTACTTTCTCTGTGTGGAACTTTTTTTGCTGACTGTGCAGAAGCGGTCATTACCTGTTTACAATATTAACATCATTGCAGCTGGCAGCATTGTGAGCTAATTTGTGTTTATAAAACCAGAACAATCGGAAACCTAACTAGGAGCGTTACACTGACGCAGAGTCAGGCTCACAATGTTCATGGCTAACGTCACAAATAGATGATCGTTTGATCCAAATGAATGATGACACAGAGCTTTTCCCAACACTGTCTGTGGTTACAACAGATTTGCATCTTTGGAACAAGACTCCAAATAACCCAAGTATCAGACTGAGACTCGACCTGTTTTAGAAGACTTGAATCAGTATTAAGAACAAAAGAATCCTGAGGAGGAAATCCCTATTTAAACCCAATAACTGGACATCAAAGGAATAAAAAAGGGTTACTTTAATACTTTGCTTAATATTCACTTCAGTCTTTTTTTAGGCAGAGCTTTAGTTTTGCTGAGGGGGGTTTTCCATCCTTTTATTGTCTGACTCGTGTGACTTACCGCTGCTTAGCCAACTACAGCTGGAAATATCCTTAAGATTAAGTTTTTATGAATTGATTTCTGCCCGTCAGTAAATTTAACATCAGTGTTTTATCAGACTCAATAAAAGGAAACAGCAGCATTGATACTCACGATGTGGTGCTCGTGTGAATAACTGCCCTATGGAAGCTATCAGTCGGAATGATTAAAGGAAAATAGATGATGCAGACTACCTGCAGATTGATAATATCTCACTCATGTTTATGCGGTTTTCAAAGAATCATCCTGTTATGGACTAATTATTGGCTGAGAGCCACCTTACCAAATAAGAGAGGTCATGCGTTGCTGGAGTCTTGACGTCTGGGGCAAATAGATTAACACAGCCGAAAGTAGTTATCATAAGATATATGAGTACTGGACAGTGTCAAGGTGAAAGAGATATAAATAATTTGTCCATAACACATCCAAAATTGTCCATGCCCGTTCTTTGAATTCACACCTGTATGTAAAAGTAAAGAAATTAACATAACTGTAGATTGCATTTCATTTGAATGAAAGCTGGATATTGCTGTGTATCTATATTCTGCTGCAGTTTAAGCAGAAACCTCGGCAACCAAACAACAAGAAATGAGATCATTTCCTTCCGCCCAACACGCAGGATAATCTCATTTAGTGCAGGAACAGAACAGCGTCACTTTAACTTTTGTCTCCATCATGTGTGTAATATATATACCTGCCTTATGGGAATGGCTGTGGCATTTGTACACAGGAGAAAATTAATTAGAAATTAGGCTGAAAGGAGATCAAACAGAGAGTTCAGGAAACTTAGATTATGATGAAAACATTGGGCAGTGAAAAGCAGACATGGAATTGGCAAAATTGATAAAAGTGTGCTGTAAGTGAGGGAAAAAAGATAGGAAGGTCAAACAGAGAGCTAACTGAGTGCCAATCATTGAACAGAACAGCACAAGCTGCAAACAGTGTTTCAATCAAAGCAAAACTGAAAAGACACCATTAGATTGACCAAAAAACATAAAATAAAATAAAAGAAGCTGTTTTTCATTGAAGAATGACAATAGGCAGGTAGAGTGTTTTATAAAAAAAGCTTACAAGTCGGAAATGCAAAGGAAAAAAGAGGGTGACCACTTTAGAACCAGTTGGTTATAGAGGAAATCAGTTCAACAATGATGGACTTTCTTTCCTTAAGGTAGTACATCACTGGGCTGTGTGTAAAAAACTTAACACAGTGCACCAAAATGATCTGCACAACATAACGACCAGTTTTAAAACAATACACACAAAATTGGGCTGGGATTTTTTTAAAAAAATGGCTGTACAAAATTATCATTATTTGAAATAAATCAAAGTTCCTAACCACAATTGAAAACTCACATATTTTCTCTGAATAATGTCCGACTGCTGCAGCCCAGCGAGATCCTACATTCAGCCTGGCTTGACAAGACCTCAAACTCCACTCAAGGAAAACGGCTAAATCTACATTGGGTTTTAATCTGCATATGCATTTACATTGAAAGGGGCATTTCATGCATCTGACCATCTTCTATTGAAAATATAAAACTGATAAGTGACAAATATTGAAACACTGATAGAAAAGAGATGGCTGCCACAATTAGGACGAGAGCAATGCTACAGAAAATACTGAATCATCAGTTGTTAATGAGTGAGTTATAGTTTTAGTTTTACCTCCATACAGCAAATGTTCATTTCTCTCTGACTTAGTCACTTAATGTGGAAATGACTTCACACAGCAAAACTCAAATATTCAAAATATACTAATGAATTCAATTTAATATTATTGATTTTATGGATTTCTCAACAATTCTGGACAAAATAAAACAACATAAACAACGCACTTTACATCAGTCAGTGAAGTTTATGGTTTTGATGATGGTCACTTGTCCAAGCCGCGTGTGTGTGTGTGTGTGTGTGTGTGTGTGTGTGTGTGTGTGTNGTGTGTGTGTGTGTGTGTGTGTGTGTGTGTGTGTGTGTGTGTGGTCTTACTGCAGCTTCTTAAGGCCATACAATAGTGACTTGTTGCCACATTTCCATTTCCAAGCTAACTTAAAAATAATACAAAAGTTCTAACATAAGGTCATAAGATGATTTATTTATCCAAAACCTAGAGCCTGGTTATTATTCATCCAGCCATTTTCTGTCATTTTAATCTTCAGGAAGATGGTGTCTTTAGAGGTCATTGGGCAAAAGATTTATTGGAATAATTTTTTTATTAGAATGAAAGAATAAACAAAGAAATGTCAACGGCAACACATTGTTTGGGTTAAACTTTGAAGATTAAAATGCCACCATCCTTTAAACGCAGTGCGCTGATTAATGTTTCAAACGGAGCCTTTTAACAGAACGCATCGACTTCTTTGGTGAGAAGTCCAGCCTTGAGAACTTACTGTTTTAGACTGAAAAGTCTGGCTTTCAGCTCGACAAAGCCAGCTGTTCGTTTTGCTTTTGCAGTGCAGCCCTCAGATGTGGGAGGTGAAGGATGCAAAACAATCTAAACTCACCTAAGAACAAACTAATAAAATGTAATATTGGAAGCAAACACAACGACCAAACTCATAAGAGAAATAAAACAAATCCAGCAAAATACAAAGTTCACCAAAACGTAAAATAAACATATTCTGCAATATTACAGCATCAACATCTTTTTTCATGATGTTCCTGCCTGTGTGATAAGGCACTATAAATGTTATTATGTACATTTGATAAACAATAAAAGTGGGCTTGATTGCAATATGCCAAAACAAACTTTTGAAAAGCATAAATGTGCAATACCAAAACTATTCTTAAGAGTGTCATGGGTTTGACCTGCCTAATGAATTACTTCAACAAAGAAAACCACCAACAACAATAAAAGCACTTTCTGAAAGGAAACCATATTCCAGCCTTAGCCGTGATGAAAATGACAATTGGCACAGACATCATCTGCAGATACCAGACTGAGACAGACACTTAAAGAGAGTCCCTAATCCAAGGGAGGAGCTTTGATTTCTGTTCCCAAAAAGAAACAAATATCACCTCATTTAGGAAAGTCTGACAGCAAGACTGATGGGGAAACGAAAGGAAGCTAATTTGATATCAAGCTTGGCTTTCTTGCTAAAATGATGGACTCATCAAGAACAGCAGCAAAAGCGACAAAGACTCAAAACATACAGAAGGTGCCTTACCTAGGACGCCCAGGCGGTAGTTGACCGTTATGACAATCACATTTCCGTAGCTGGCCAGGATGCTGCCGTCAAACATATTCCCAGTTCCTTCCATGTAGGAGCCTCCGTGGATAAAAACCATCACTGGCTTGGGGCTTCCACTCTCTCTGATGTCTGGGGAAGAAGAGGAGGTGGAACAGGCAGATGGACTGATTAGATGACAGATTGAAGGTGACAGCCAAGTGATGAAAATTTTAATACTTAGGAAGGCTTTGGCCACCTTTTATTAATTTTATTTTTTTTCCAAGGCAATTCTGGCTAGCTGGCTCACTTTTTTATATTTTTAACACAGTAACCTTGATAGTTTTAGGCATCAAATAGTTCATTTTCTCACATTTTTGTTGCAGCTGGAAAAGATATATTTATTTCCTGACCTACTTTAAATTCCAGGTACTGTAGGTGTTAATGAAACAGGATAGGGTAATGTGATGAGTTTAGATTTTTTCCTGCAGCCTGTCAACATGCAGCAGTGGCAATCTAAACTGTCACGCCAAGCTGAGGCAGAACTCGGGCAATTAACGCAAGGAAAAATCTAATTGAAAATGGCGTATTAGGTTTGGCATGTTTTATAAGAGCCTTGATTCATTGAGATGCAATCTTGTAAAAAAAAGAAAAGAAAAGAAAGAAAAGCCCTTTTTATTTCACAGTGTAAATGTTTGCCTTGACTCTAGAAATCTATAACATGTACGCACTTGATGGCACCAGAGGCAATTAAAAGGAATTAGAAACAGATAGCAGCACTTTTCTGTTGAAATAATTATTATTTTGTAAAGTGATGGACAAAATGTTAAGTTTGATTAGAGGCAATTCATTTTCCATGATGGGATAATGAAGCAATTGTAGGAAAAAAATATGTGATAATTAAAAAATATATGTTTTTAGTCCTCGTCTCAGATGTTGTTTCAGTGTCTTTAGTTTCAAGTGACATCTGATGCTCTCTCTCTCTCTCTCTCTCTCTCTCTCNCTCTCTCTCTCTCTCTCTCTCTCTCTCTCTCTCTCTCTCTCTCTCTCTCTCAGGAAGTGTTCTGTGACTAGAAGACATGAGCAGCTGAGCGTATTCAGCAATCTGTCGTTTGTTTTCTCAGAGTGGTAATATAGCAGGTAAATTAGGTTAAATTTACTGCGCAGCAGATTGTATCTGTTTCCTATTTTTTTTTAAAAGCTGTGCTTGTTTTACAAAAAATACAGTTTTAAAATCAAAAATGTAAAAAGTGTGCAGCTTGTGAGGAACTTCTTTTTGTTTTATGTATTGATTTAACGTTTATTAAATCAAGCAAACTGAAAATGTTGGTACAATATTAAACAATAAAATCACACATTGCAAATGTTTTTTTTAACATTGCAATACTTTAATATTTAAGCATAATTCTCTGCCTTACTGCAGAGAGCAGCTAGCAGCACAGCTTAGTAGCATGGTTTTATTTATAGAGCAGTAATATCCGAAGCCTAATTAAGAGCAATAAGCTGAAAAAGCACACAAAGAGCATCACATTGCGTAGTTTTAACCACGTCAGTTGACTTGCAGCTGACATGTATAGGGTGCATTAAGCTATAAAACCCTGTTACAATGCAGAGCAGCTTTAAGATATTGGCTTAACACCTTTTCTTAGAATATATTTAGAAATTTATCCCCCTATATTTCAATTTGTAATTTTTTTCTCCTTCATTATATATGTATGTATATATATTACTTTTGGTTTGAAACAGTGTTACAAATAAAGGAAAATAGACTTAAAAAAGAATATAAAGAACTCTGGGAACATGGTTGTTCGATTAAAGGCCACCACCTTATTTATTATTTTTTTCAGAAGCATTGAAATTAGAATAATACTGTGTGGACTGATACCAACTTTTCAATACCACCAATACCAGAACATTAGGCTCTTAATATTAAAATGGTGCCTTTTAAAAGTATAAAATATATAAATATATGTCTAAATGTTTAATATTGATACTTCAGTCATTTCAGGTAATATGTGATTCACAGGAACACAGTTGAAAATAACTAAACTTGTGGTTTAGTGTGGTTGGAGGGAACTAGTTTTTTTTCTGCCGCCTGGATAATTAAGTGCTGTGGCACTCAGTCTGTTCCATGTTCTGTATTTACATGTTAACGTCTTCATGTAATGTATATTAGGACATTTTCATTTTTATTGTAGTTCTTGATCATTAAACAATAGTTTATTTTAATAGTTTTATTTTTTTAATCATTTTTCTTGTAAAAAAAACACCACTTTTTTTCACATACTTTGTATAATTGTGTCTGGTTTTTTTTCTGTTATATTAGCTTAACTACAGTATGTTGGAAATGAGAACATTATATCAATATACTTCAGAGTTTAGAGTCTCGTTTTCTTTATGAAGCAGTGGTTTGAAATACACCACTTTTTATAGGTTTACCAGACAGATTAGGTGAATTTGCATAAAGTATCAGTACCAGATCAGTATTGCCGATGACTGCCTGAGTTTTACCAGGTATCAGAATCAGAAAGGGTACATCAATATAAAACAGTGTTGAAGGAAGATGCTGTATAGAGCATCAGTTCAATTTATTCATGAGTGACATCATGAATAGAGATGATCATTCAGTCTCACTGAAAGAGGACAAGGAAAGGAAACGTGTCTGCATCTGTTGAACAAGACATGACAAAAGCCAAGTGTTGGCTAATTCTGATTGGTGAAGGGAACAATTTTTATTTTTATTTTGGGACATCTCTAGGTTTTACAGCTCGTCTTACTCCTGAGTTTAAAAAAGAAATAAAATATTGTCAGCATGGGCTGTTTAAAGATTGTTCCACCTGACAGGGGAAAAACGACTGTCTGTATTGAAAGGCTTCAGCCCTTGACACGGCTCCGATTTCAGCTGGGCTGTGAGCAAAAAGGATGACAAGATCTAACAACATCCTGAAAACCTACGTTCAAAACAAGCTTTCGCTTTCATCTCTCGTCGCCCAGAAATGATGCTTTTAATCCTCCATCCTAAGTATCTCCATCAGGACATGTAACAGCACACATCGTTTATCCCACTGATGTTTTATCAGTGAGGGACTCGGGGGGCCGGTGGGAGATCAGTGAGTCTGTGGGGAATTAAAAATTAACCAACCAAAAATAAACTGTTACCTCAGAGGGATAAAAAAAAAACACTGTTCAGTTGCAGGAAGACTAAGAAGGGCAGCAAGGTTTTTTATTTATTTATTTATTTATTTATTTATTTTTGTTTCATTTTTGAGTGTGTGTTTAAGGCTGTTGAAATCAGCAAAAATCCCCAAGGAAGTGCTTTGGTTGTTTCATAACTCTGCAGAGAAGGTGGCTTTGCTGCTTTCAAATTAGGTTCCAGTAGCTCATGTATTTATATTCATCACAGGATTCCTTTTGAGACAGTTGGAATTTTTTGGATCCTTTTCAGAGACATGCTTTGAGACAATGTCTTGGCGTGGGAAAACCTCTGAGACTGTTTTACTTTGAGCAGAAAGTGTTCTTGAACTCCAGGAACAGGAAAATCTGTCAGCAAATCAAAAACTTGGAGCAGAAATAAAATGATGCTTTTCTTGCTGTCTGTGTCTTTTGCTTGTTGTTGTTGTTGTTTTTTTTTTTTTTCAAAACAAAGCCCACCACATAACTTTGTTCATTCTTTTATTTTTTATGTTTTAATTCTTCTTATTATCCTTTTTACTCCCCGTATCAACAGAAGAAACGTAACTATTCAGCTACACATTGTGTATCTCAATTGAAAGACTGCCTTAAAAGGTCAAGTTTCTGCACCTTGCAGGAAAAAAGAAAACTGCACATGCCAAAGAACTATAACTAATTCAATTTTTTGGAGCACTAAGTTTTAAATAAAGCTTTAAAATGTCGCTAAAACATTTTTAGCTCACGTTCTGAGAGTAAAATCCTAGTTAAAACTTTTCCACAAACATTTTAATGTTATGTAGCTCACGGTTCTTACATTTTTCTAATTTTTACAAATTGCTACATTTAAGTGCTAAAAATATATGTAAATATTCCAGTCCGATCTAAATGTAAAATTTAAATGTTTCAGCATAATGGAACACACCCTTTGCTATTGGTGCGCAACTTTTGTTGTGATGTCACCATCCTGCTGCTAAAACTAATGCTAATGCTGTTAGTTTTGCTAACGCTGCTAACGCTGATGGAAATTGCATTTACATTTTAAATTCAAAATGTATTTGTTGAAAACAATATGGATGGTATCTGCAAGTTTGATGTCTTGTTCGGAAGCTTTAACAGAGTTAGCAACATTAGCAGCGTTAGCTTTTGTTTCAGGATGATGACTTCACAACAAGAGCCGAGCACCAACTGCAGAGGCTGTGTTCCACTCAGAAGCTCTTCAATTTAAACTTTAGCTATTAAGTTCAACATTTAAGATTTAACTTTTGCATTTAGATTTACACATTTAGATTTAGCATTTAATATTTACATTCACTATTTAAATATATCATATTAAGATTATTATTAAATCTAACATTTAGTAAATACAAATTAGCAAAATGTGGGAACAGCGAGCTAAAGAACAATAAAATGTTAGTGAGCATTTTACACTCAGAAAGTGTCATAAATGATGCAAATGACTTAGTGACAATTGTTAACATATACATATAACATTCCTAGCTAATTTTTGAAAGATGCATATCATCAGTAGCATTTTAAGCCAGTTTTAAACTTAAACTTTTAAACTTTTTAAAACTTTTTTTTACTTTTCAACTTAAACAATTTATGACAAGGGATGGAGTTAAAGTTGGTCAATCTTCGTAAACAAAGTGTATAAGCAATAATATAAAATATAGTGCCTGTGATTTATGTTTGTGTGTGTTGTGTACTGTACATGACGGGGATGACTAAGATCATGCTTGGGTTGTATTAGGGATGCTTTTCAGTTATTAAAACAGCAAATTTTAACCTCAGTCTCTGTAAACTTGACAGTGTTGTCGCCATTTTTGTGTTTGGTAAAGTTTGTTGGCTGTGGCATTCACATCTATCGGTTGCTTTCTGAAGGTTTTTAGAAAATCTGTCATTTGGTTTGTGACATATTTTGCTAACAGAGTTGACTCTAAAAGGTAATGGCACAGTTTTAAAGGCAGCTTTTGTGTGATCAG